GTTTTACAGCTGTAACTGAAGTGACTGCATGAGGTCACCGAGCTAGTAAGTGATGAAGCTGGGATTCAGACTCAAGTTCATCAGACTTTAAATTCTTTCAACATGGTCACTCTGTCCCTTCGCTCAAGAAGGTGCTCTTTAGAGGAAAGGATGCCTGTCACCAAGGAGGACAGTGTAAGTCACAGGCATGGAGTTGGCAGATTGTTCAGTCTGGAGAAATAGGGCTCAGCCAACTTTGAGGACCACCAGTTCTATCCTTCCCTCTTTTAGATACTATGTCAGGATTAACTTCTCTCATATGTTACACATAACACAAATAACAGTGGCTTAAATGTGATGGAATTTTTTTCTCTTGCATAAGGAAAGAGCAGAGATGTTTAGTTCAATGCCGGTATGGTGGGTTCCAATTTGCTCTCCCCCAAAAAGAAGTCAGGAGAAATGCTCTCCTTACTTACAGGGCCTGAAACTCCCCGACCCCATTAAGAGACATCCAGCCCCAACAAGTAGGTCATCCCAGGAACCCTCTTTGTCTGGGTACTTGGGACTCTCCTCCTCCACCCAGTACCAACCTTCTGCTGGCCTGGAGAAAGCCCTCTGCACCCTCAGGTAGCTCCATTAGAGACCAGTTGAGAGCCCCAGCAGCACCAGATACAACAAGCAGATCAAAAGAACGCCACAAAGGCTCTGAAAATTAAATTGCTATGGGACATGTTCATCCTGGGATATTTCAGCTCCACCCCTTGCCAAGACTTGTGTGAGGAACCTAAAGAGCCTGCTAAAATAAAAGATACAAATAAGACCCAGCATCCCCTAACAATAACAGCTAAAAGTCCAGGATACAATAGTAAACCATCATACCAAGAACCAAGAAAATCACAATGTGAATAAGAAAAGACAACCAACACCAGCACTGAGCTGGATCAGGTGCTGGAATGATTTGACTAGGATTTGAAAGCAGCTATTAAAATGCTTCAACAATCAACTACAAGTTTTCTTGAGACAAATTTATAAAAAAAAAAAAAAAACAGAAAATCTCAGCAAAGAAAAAGAACTTAAAAAAAGAACTGAGTGGAAATTATAGACTGAAAAATATAATAATAGAAATAGAGAGGGCTTATCTCCCAGCTGGATCAGCACCTTCAAAGAACCCCAGAAGAACCACTCAGTGATTTCCAAATTTAAATTCACTATATATTTTTTAGCTACAAGGGAGGCTGGGAAATGTAGTCCTTATGCTGGGCCACCAGGGATAGATTGGAGTTTTGTTTATTGGGTAAAAGACAAGAATAAATATTGAATTATTAACTACCCATGTCTATCACTGAAACAAATGGCTCATATATGAGAATGAGACCAAGGCTCTGGGAGTTAGTATTGGAATATGGACTTATTATGAATAAGACTAGAGAAATTGTGTGGCCATTAAGGAGGATGATGAATTTTTGGTTCGGTCTGGCATGATCCACAGTTACCATGATTCCTAAGAGCTGGCATAAAGACAACTTGATGTGACCCAATGTCACTAACACCTCAACAGGCTCACCTTCTCAGGAAAGGCCACTTAATTACCTGATTAATTTGCTCATCTTAATTAACTTGTCCCTATTGTTGATAACCTTGTATTGATTGCTCTGCTGGTAGTAATTAGAAAAGTGGTAGAGAAGTAAATGGAGAAGCCACAAGGAGGAAAAATAGAGCATACACTCCTGTCTCTCAGGAATCTACCCTCTAGACTTTGAGCTCAACACTTCTGTTTCTCCTTCTGGGTAAATATATTAGAAATGCAAGTCATTTTCTCTGGTAATCATTTCTACCTACTCCACTTCTTAGAGGATCTGCCTTTGTCTTTTCCTCAAAGACTCTGCTCACGTTCCCCCCCCCCCCCCGCCTTCCTCAACTACAGCTGAGTGGTCAGTGGATGAACCCGTAACCTAAGCTGGACCAATAACATTCAATTTTTTTTTTCAGATTTTTTGGATTGGAACATAAAGAAATAGTATCAGCTACTGAAACTGTACCATTCCATAGATTTGGAGGGTGGCCAGGGCAGCCATTTTGTGGCAGTCATTTTGGACTTTGTACTCTATCATCAACAAGAGAGAGCTGGTCAGTCAAGCTCACCCAACCCCTAATGGCTTTACAATTCCTGGTCCCAGTCTCTTGTCCCTTAGCCATACTTCTTACTCTGGGATTTATGTGATACCTTTGATTCTTTTACAAAAGTTTTTTTGCACATAAGTTCACTCAATTTGGTTGCCATTTCTTTCAACCCAGTGAACCGCTAATATAGTAAAATACTCTCATTATTGACCTCTCTCTATTTTAGCCTGAACACCTCTGGTGAAAATGCATATGTAAGGGACCTATGAAAAATCAGTAAAATGGGAGTTGCTATCAAAAATGTATAATGTATATTGTATAAACTACAATGTCTATTGTTAGTTGGAAGAGACCAGAGGTGGGGAGTGGAAGAAATGGATGAAGGTGGTCAAAATGTACAAACTTCCAGTTATAAGGTAAATAAGTTCTGGACATGTAACATACAGTGTGGTGACTATAGTTAATGATATTGTGTTGTATATTTGAACATCCCTGAGAGAGTAAATCTGAAAAGTTTGAATCATAAGAAAAATAATTGTAACTATGTGAGGTGATGGATGTTAACTAAACTTATTGTGGTGATAATTTTGCAGTGTGTGTGTGTATATATATATATATATATCTCAAATCATTATGTTGTGTACCTTAAACTAATACAGTACTCTATGTTAATTATATCTCAATAAAACCAGGGAAAAATGTATAAAGTGATAAACTGTTCTGGTTTCCATCAGGCCCAGTGCTCTGCCTAACCCTTTCCTACCCATTAACTCAGGCTCTGACTGCCATTAACATGTCACCATATCCCCACTGACTTCAGTCCTTTGGGACCCTCTAATTCCCATATCCCACCCAGATTCCCAGAACTCTATTGCCTCCCAGAAGTAATCATAGTCAACACTTAGTGCCAGTTATTTTGGCTTGGGGCCATGGCCTTGCAAAGCTTGTATTGAAGTAATGCTCTCCTACCTAATTTGATTGAATTGAGTGTTCCAGTAAGACTGGTGATGCTTTCCTTGCTACAGGGTCCATCCTAATGAGCAAATGCTGCCTCTCTTTCATAGAAGGTTGCAAATGTGGGCTTGTAAAGCAAATCTTTATAATCACTTCTTGGTGGCTCAAAGATCACCCAACATAATTACATATGGGACTATGCTGGGAAATACTAAAATAAACCTAACTTAGAAAGCACATACGCCTTTCATTTACTTTGTGGTGTCAAACTTTGACTATTTTCTCAAACTTTAACTATTTATTGTTTTCCCCAAACTTTGACTCTTTATTGAGAATACAACAGAAGTGAAAGAACCAACACAAATTTAAAGCTGCCTAATCACCAAGACAGAGTCATGACCATCTGGAGTCTCATATTCCCAACACGGTTGTCTATAATCTTCATAAGCACTGCCTGAGTTTGTCCAAGTCGCATCAACAAGAACAACTCCAAATTTTGTTGAGAAGAATGAGAGCATTGTTACAAAGGACAACCAGTGTGGAGGAAATCCATATGCTCCTTACAACTCTTTGATATCCTACCCAGTGCCAAGGGTTTTTACCAGTCCTGATACAGCAGAAATCTAGAAGCTCAATTCTAGAAGACTGAAGACGCTCATCATAGCCTTGAACTTTCACTTAAGAAAGAAACTAACTCCTGCTTTGTTACAACACCTTTTTGGGTCTCTGTTACTAGGATCTAACCTCATCCTCATGAATACACAAGCTTCTGTGTTGACAAGTACGTGTCTACAACATCATTTATTTTTTTTAAAGATTTTATTTATTTATTTGACAGAGAGAAACACAGCGAGAGAGGGAACACAAGCAGGGGGAGTGGGAGAGGGAGAAGCAGGCTTCCTGTGGAGCCCGCAGAGCAGGGAGCCCAATACAGGACTCGATCCCAGGACCCTGGGATCATGACCTGAGCTGAAGGCAGACGCTTAACGACTGAGCCACCCAGGCCCCCCTACGACATCATTTAAATGGCACCATGGTATTCCGGGATAGGGAAAGACCACAACTTACTCATCCAGCATGTTATTGTAGGATGTTTAAGCTATTTCTGACATTTTTCTAGGTTAAACAAGGCATGGTGATCACCCAAGTAATGAAATATCCAGGCACACCCTCAGATATTTCCTTAGGATAAACTGCTAAACTAGTTTATGTACACCAGTTTGGCTGGGCCCAGCTATACTATTGCATATATTTAAAATTTTATGAAACTTACTTCCAACATTCTTCTCCAAAGAGGTAGTACCAAATCATGCTTCCATAAAACTTGCAGGAAGTGGTTTATTGATATTCTCAACACATTGATGATGACTACTTTTTTTTTAATCTTTGACAATTTGATTTATGCTGTACTTTTGCAACCTGTCCATGCTAGTATGTTATCTCTTAGTGATAAGTATCCTCTCCCCATCACCACCAAAAACACTACCAGTTTCTCTGCACTAGGGTTAGCAGCTCCACTTATACCCTTACCACCCTCACTTTATTGTGGGGAAGAGAAAAGTTGCAACCATTCATTAATGAAGCCATTCATTCATCTACTTTATTGAGTACCTGCTTTGTACCAGCTTTGTGATAGCTGTTGATGTGTAGGGACGGACAAGACTGACAAGATCCCTATCTTCATGGAACAGATTATCCCTGCCACCATTCACAGAGCTGATGGTCTGGGCTCAGGGTCTGCCTCCATCCTAGTACATTGTGGAAGCAGAGCTTCTCCCTCCCATGGGCACTCACTTATCAGCCATGGAGATCTTCAAAGACATTTTCTCTTTAATCTGCCTGATCATAATGGGAGATGGTCACCATGGCAACACTATTATGGGCTACTAATGAGTAAGTTGGGTGTTAGACATGTCAGAGTTGTCCAAATATGCAAGAGAGGAGACTTAGTCTTTACCTCATAGAAGATGAAGTTTTCCTGAGTGCAGTCCCTCAATTGTAGATGGTCTTCTCTCTCTGACAACCAAATGACTTCAACCATATGGACAAGGGTCCACCCTTCAACTCCTACCACCTAACCAGTCTGAGGAGGTCAGAGCTCTGGAATGTTCTAGGAATCACAGACTCTCTAAGGTAGATGAGATAATAGAGTAAATGGAATATGACCCATCTCCTGTCTAGGGATCTCTCCAATGTCTCTCTTTCACACACCCTGACTCTACAGTAGTCATCCTCCATTTCTGTGGTTTTCTAGAGCAGATGCATAGTGGGACATGACTCAGAGGCCATGATCCAGATGCAGCCAGAATCAGACCCAGGTTTGGGGACCGAAAAGTAATGCCCATATGTTCTGATTTGAAGTAGTGACCTGACAATGTCTTCAAACAAACTGAGATGTCTGGATTCCTGACCAGACCCCCAGTCAGGTCACGTGGGTTTGTATCTTGCAGATGTTATAGGAAAAAATAATGTATAATTCAAGAGCATTCCAAGTCCAAGAGGATAGTGTGTGTGTGTGTGTGTGTGTGTGTTTATGTGTGTGACTATGTATGTTTATATGCATGAGTATCTGTTTATGGAGGGGGAGTTTCTTTGGAAACCATCTGGCAAATACAGGTGAATGGCCCTTAGCATATATATGCATGTAAGTCTCCTTCATTTTGCTGCTTTCCATAGGAGGAAAGGAAAAGTGATTGAGCTCTGCAGTTTTCATTGTGAAATTGTTTCTTGATGGAAGATAAGCTCTCCAGGAGCAAGGATATTGTCTATCTTGCTTGATACTATTTCCACATAGCCTAGAATGGTGCCTGGCATATAGTAAATATTCAAAAATTAATGTAAACATACTCATCACATTTCATTCACATAACTACTCTATGAGGAGACCTCTGTTACTCATTTCTCCATTCGACAGCTTTCTTTGAGTATCTGCTCTGTACCTGATATTATGCCAGCCACACACCATAGTTAATCATCTTCCTCCTCCCTGCCAGGTGCCTTTTGGGGCCCAACTGTAACATGGGACATGAGAATATGCCCTTGTTAGCAGGTTTTACAGATGCTTGGCATTTTATCTGTCCCTACAAACCCATTTTGGAACAAGGGAGTGGAATAAAGACATTTGATTTATTACTGACAATGTGGATAAATTCTGTCTTCCCCCAACACACACACACACACACACACACACTCACACTCACACAAATGAGATTCAGTGGACGGGATTTACTTCCAATTACTCTACATTTATGTCTCCCTCTGCTCCCAGGGCAGGCAGGCAGGATCCCACCCAACTCATGCCCACATCTCAATTTTACCACCTCTTCTCTTCCTCACAGAGTCTCAGCTTAGACTGGGCCTCGCCATCCAGGGGACAGGCCTTTCTCATCCCAAGCTGGGGTCTCCAAAGGGGGTTGTACCTCCAGCCAGGAACCAGGTGAGAAAGTCAGAAGTATGCTGGAGGCTCAGTATTCTCAAGGGGAGGTGAGAAGAAGGGGTCCTGAGAGGGTGAAGTCTCTTGCAGCCAGCTCTCTGGTGGTTGGCACCTAGGTTTAACAGAGCTGGCTTTGGGGCCTGGGATCAGGCTCATTGCCATCTCAACAGATGGGCACGTGGGTAGATAGCCAACAGATAATGTATGAGCAACAAATGTGTTTGTTGAGGGCCGTTTTTCCAGGCAGAAGCATCAAAATGGGCTCATCCTGAGACTCCACACCTGTGCTCCTCTTCTGTCTAAAAACCTGCTGGAGGCTGAGGTCCCAAACATGGAGGAGGGGCCTGTACAACTGCTAACTCCTGCAGGAGGGAGGAAAGCGAGGCTCCAGGGAGCACAAGAGAAGGACTCCCCCGGGGGGCAGAAGAGATGCCAACACCTATTTGCAATGAAGGCAGCTGGAGGGAGTGAGGTCAGACACAAAGAAGATCTCTGTGGGTTTGTCTATATTTTTCCCTCTTAACAGCCGAGAAGTTGTGAAAAACCCATTTTATGACACTCACGTAGCCATGGTGAGCTTTGACAAGAAAATGGAGAGTGTGCAAAACATTGACAACTGCCCTGGAATCTTCTCCCTGGGAAATGAGAAATTCTGTCTTCATGAGGTATAAATTATGAATATCATGACTAGTGTCCAGAGGTAAGAAATGCACAGCCCACGGGCAGACACTGCGTTTATCCTGTGTGCCTGGGAGACCCCACTAATTGATTACAATGTATTCAGTATTTTCTCATGAATCCAAGGCAGGGCCTCAGATCTTTTTAAAAAATTTAATATCTAATACATTTTGCAGGGTGCAAAATGCTAAAGTATATACTTGAGAAATCTCCCTCCCACCCCGGACCCCCAGCCACCCAGTTGCCTTCTCCAGGTGGGACCAAGGGTGCCGGGACAACATTCTAGCTTTGTGAGGACCCGACACAGGAGATGATTTTCCCCGTTCAGAATCTAGCCTTTCAGTTTCAGAGAAGTGGCCCACCAGCATTTTTCCAGCTCCAGTCTCGGTCACCCAATGGTCAGCTGGGACAGAGCAGAGGTAGTAGCTCTGTGGCAATGATATAGGTCCCTAATACCAATTTTCGATTAGATGGGTACCTCTGTGCCCACAACGCTCCAGATGCTCCTGAGTAATGACTGGGCTTCTCGGGGTCTGATGGCCACTGAGCAGGGTCAGCGCCACTCAACAAGCCTTTGCCAACTAGACTTCCTCATGCACTTCTCGAGGCCTGCTCTTGGGCATGAGGGTCAGATGCCAAGCTGGAAAATTTCGTTGTGCTATGAATGTTGACAAAGCCTTGAGAAAACAAAAAGCAGAAAAGCAAGCACTGGACTGGGAATCAGAAGATTCTAGGTCCCTTTCGCAATTCTGCTATCTCCTAGTTGCGTGACCTTGGGAACATCACTTCCCATTTCTGGTGTAAAATGAGGGGGCTGCACTGAAGGGAAGTAGGAGGAGTGTTACATCCATGAGCTTCAGAGCTAGACCTCTTAGGTGTGAATCTCTGGCACTCACCAGTCTTGTGATCCTGAACAAGCCATGTAAGTTCTCCTAACCTTTGTGTCCTCCTAAGTAAAGCGAGTATAATAATAGTTCCTGCCTCATGGAGTTATTTTAAGGATTGAATGAGTTCACAATACATTTAAGCTGGGTGGCATAATGCCTAAAACACGGTGAGTACTCAGTCAATGTTAGCTGTTATTATTTTCTTTAAGATTTTATTTATTTATTTGAGAGAGAGAGATAACGAGAGAGAGCATGAGTGGGGAGGAGAGGGAGAAGCAGGCTCCCTGCAAGCAGGGAGCCCGATGCGGGGCTCAATCTTAGGACCCTGGAATCATGACCTGAGCTGAAGGCAGACGCTTAACAGCCTGAGCCACCCAGGTGACCCAGCTGTTATTATTTTATGATGACTTTCAAAAGTGCCAGGAAATTCTAGTGGGAATAACCTGAGGAATTAACTAGCTATTTTTATACCAATAGTAATGATGACAATTGGCTGGTAAATTATTTGAAACTTCTCTATTTGCTACTGCTGCCACCCCCATACTCCAGAACATTAATTTTGCCACCAACGATTACATTTAGAGATGTTGGTGAAGGTAACCTGTTTCCACCAATAAAGCTTCCACCTTGACATCAAAATCACTTAGGTCAACAAAGAAATAAGAAAGTGTCCAGAGGGAAGTCAGGTATTTGAGTTTTTCACACTGAAGATGGTGCCATGGTTTTTGTTCTTAGTAGGTAAAATGTAGATCTGTTTGGTGGTAGGAAGGTTTGATCCCCATGTTATCAAAGTAGCACCAGCTTCCATTAAGACTTTTTCTTGAGATGCATCATCAATGTCTCTGAGTTGAACTGTGTCCCCCAGAAAGATATGTTGAAGTACTAGCCCCCAGAACCTGTGACTCTGACCTCCTATTTGGAGATAGGGTCTTTGCAGATGTAATCGAGTTAGGATGAGGTCCTACTGAATTAGGGTGGACCCTAATACAATGTAACTGGTATCCCCATAAGAAGAAAGGAGACACAGATACACAGGGAGAATGCCAGGAGATCAGAGAGTCAGAGATTAGAGTGGAGTGTCTATGAGTCAGGGAAGCTAAGAGAAAGGCATGGAACATACTTTCACCTAGATCCTTCAGAAAGAGCATGGCCCTGCCAACACCATGTTTTCTGACTTATATCCTCTAGAATTGCAGAGAGAATAAATTTCTCTTGCTTTAAGCCACCCAAGTTTGTGGTATTTTGTTACAGCAGCCCTGGGAAATGAATACAGTCCTTGATGAAGGTAAAGATGGAGGGACTGATTTAAAAAAAAAAATCAAGGACAGAGAGTCCAGGTCTTTGGGAACATATATGACAATTTCTATTTGCCTATATTTAGATAATTGTGCCTAGAACAACTATGCCAACAGTGTCCCACTAACTTATTCCCATTTCAGGGTCCACCTGGCTGTCCCCTCACGATGGAAAGCACATTTAAGATGATCCCAATTGTAAGATGCTTCATTACTGTGTACCACTAAGAAAGAAAAAGATACTAATTAAACTCTGACCCGACAGTGATGGGGAGACACATCCCAACCCAGAGATGTTAAACTGTGAAGAAAAAAAAGGCATGTCTTAGATGCAATGAAATATGGTAAATGCTTCAATAATAATGACTTCATGCAGAGTTCTGTTCTGTTCTTGGAGCAATCTCCTGACCCCTGTGAAGACCAATACAGAAGTTACAGTGCTTGCCCTGAGCATGGTTCTAAGTCTGTGAAGGTCCCGCATGTACAGAGTGGAGGGAGAGAGGAGGGTGCCAGGAACTGTGGGTAGGGGATAATGTATCTACAACAGGAAATGTTCCAGCCATTTCTGAAGCCTATGATGGCAACACTGAACCTCAGGACCCCTGCATAAGGTCATGTGGCCCTATTGTATTTCACAGCTTATGTTTGGATAGTGTTTCCCACCCCCAACACAATTTCACAGGGATTCTCCCATTTCCTTTTGCCTCAGCACAATGCTTTAAGGCAGGTAGGTGAGGGAAGTTAAATGCCTTTAGGTTTTGGTGAGTTAAATGACTTGCCCAAAGTCACATGTATAATTAGTGTCATAGCTGGGACCCGAACAAGTTCTCTTAATGCCATGTCCAGACCTCTTGTTACCCACTCAACTGACTAGTGCCTATCCCAGGTTAATTACAGAGTTTGCTATTTATGGATTTTATTGTAAATAGGATCAAATTGAAATGAATTCAGGCTGAACATTCTGGAAGATTCCAGAAAAGTATGAACAAATGTTTGCATGCCCTTGAGAGGATCATCTAACCTCTTAGCTCCTGACTCACCCATTGGAGGCCCCCCAGCCACCTTGTCCCCCATTTGGATTCCAAAACCTCTTCATGTAAATGAGCTGTTGAGCCAGTGGGAGAAAAAGTCTGGGCTCCTTTGGGGGTGTATTTTGGAGCACTTGACTGTTTTCTTAAAGCTTGGGGAAGAGTAAGCTGTAATCAATAGTGAAATCTGCCTGAATCTCAGAGGCTCGATGAAGGTGCTTTTGAAGCACATCACAGAGCTTGATTTTCTGTTATTTAGTGCCAAAAGTTATTACCTCAGCAGCAGTGCAATGTCTAATTTATACCAAATTGTTAGCTGAAATCTATTAAAGTTTGTTAGCACTGCCTCAGAATACAGTAACATCTCACTGGTTCTGCTCATGTTTAAATTGACCAGCTGGTTTAACTCTATTAGCTTTGAGGCTGAGATAAACTTGAGTCTGCAGAAGCTATCCACGGCACTGGGGGAGAATGAATACAGATGAAGCGCGGGATATTTGGGGTGTTAGCTGCTACCAAATTGCTACAAGGCTTCATCTCTCTCGATGCAGCCGTGACCCCGTGAGTCCATTATCAATGGAATGGAGAGCTGTCCTCAGAATTCAGAAAGTAGTTGTCAGTGTGATGGAGTTTCCAGCAGAGAGGGAGGTTGACAGCCCACCACAGTGACTTGGAGGAACCCAGATTGAAAGGAGAAACGGATTTTTCCAGACATTTCCCCATTGCCTGCAAATTCATGACTTCTAGAGGGCACTTCCAGCTGGATGGAGGGATGACAACAGATCTAACCCTGCCAATAGAGAGATGTTCTGACCTTGGGTCCACCTGTCCTCAGGGTCAGGACCTCGAAGAAACCAGACCACACACATGTGGAAGCCTTTAAGTAGCGGCTGAATGACCCTCTACAATGGTACACAGTGTTTGGTTGCTTTGGAATGCCTGTAGCAGTGCAAATCCTGGCCTTGAAAGTCACCCAGATCTGGTTTGAGGACTGACCTCATTGCTCACTATCTGCACAATCTTTAAAAAGTGACCTAGACATTCTGGGTCCCAGTTTCCTCTTCATAAAATGGTTTTTTGGTGAAGGTGCCAGTGTTGTACATAAGTGTCTAGCACAGACTTGGTAACACCAAAAATATGTAATCAACATTAATTTCTTTCTCTTTACTACGGCTTAGTAGTTTATAGCCATTCAGTTGTAAAATGTATAATTTGGTTAATTATATTTTCATTTTGCTCTATACTTCATCTTGGCTCCCTTATATTCATTATCTTTTTCAAGTCTGGAAGGGACCCAAAATAGTAGGTAGAGCAGGAATTTATAACCCTCTCTGTCACAATAGGAAGTCCTTGATTTAGAGAGGTGGAGAGACCTGCCCAATGTCACACTGTTAATGTACAATGAGGTAGGAAGGTGAGGTCCCTAAGTCCCGCTCCGGCATCCTTTGCACCTTCCCACATGGTCATTATGTGCCAGAGTTCTGTCAGGGAAAGATTCTGCAGTAAAGCCATCAGCACTCCAAACCCCACGCCTACGTCAGGGTCAGAGGCAGCAGAAACGAAATTCTCAATCCTTCAGAAGCACCTAGAACAGAGCTCAGCACATAGCAGGTGCTCATTATGAGTTCCCTGAAGGAATGAACTGATGAACCAAACTATTCACTCCATCGGAATCTCCAAAATGAACCTGAGGAGAGGGTATACAAGAAGCTATGTTAAAGAAGAGGCAAAGTGGGGAGGTAGTAGAAAGACCTAGGCTTTCCCAAGTAGATGCCCATGATGGTCCAATAAGCACACCTAAAGTATGCTCTTCTGAATCACAGGCACTCCCCCCATCAGGAGTGGGAGAGAGAAAGCACCTGGCGTGCTGGGCTGTTAGTGCTCTAGAGGCAAAGCTCTCCGGAGTACAGTCAGTCCCGACTCCACACATTCTCCACCCAGCTCTTGACACCAAGCCTGCAGCACTTGACCCTCTTTAAGACCCCTTGAACTTGTTCAAGACGTTCTGTGTCTCTGGTACCCTAGCACGTGGTCTGACTGCAAAACCGGCTTTTCTGTGCTAAGCAAATGATGTCGAAGAAAGCAGATATGATTAGCTCCACCTCACAGCTAAAAAAAAAAATTAAAAAAAATGAAGTCCAGAAAAATGACCCCAATGGAAGGCTTTCATTCCTTCAGAAACATTCATTAAATAATTTAATACATCCTCTGTGCGAGCGCTGTCCTAGGTATGGGAGATGCCGGAACCACAAGGCACACACGGTATCTCTGCCCTCCCAGCGGAGGCAGACAGACCCGAAGACGAGAGTACACCCACATCGCACAACTGAATTGTGGTGTGAGGAGGTTTAACCAAAGATGGAGACAGAGAATGTCTGTGGGAATTTAATCCAGGCAGTATGATCCAAAAAGATCCACCTGAAATAGCGGGGAGTTAAGCTAGGGTCTAAAGGATAATAAGAAACGAGAGAGAGAAAGGGTGAGTGGTGGAAGCAGCAAGAATGTTGCACATAGAGAAAAAACCCACTTAAAAGCCTGATTTAAAGAGTCAAGGCAGTTTGAAGAACGACAATAAAGTTCTGGGGCTGGGGCATGGGGCATGAGAGGGAGTGAGATGTGAATTTGAGAGAGAGAGCAGGATCACATACAGCTTGATAGGTCATGGGTTTTATTTTAAATAAAAGTAGAACCCCGATGGAAGGGCATTAAACAAGGAAGTGACATGATTCATTTATAATTTAAGGAGACCACCCTCTGTTGGGTGAAGAGTGGGTGGGAGAGGGACCAAGGACGGAAGCAGGTTGGCAAGTCGGGGGGGGGGGTCATTCCAGCTGTGGCAGGAGGTGGTGGTGGCTTGTCTTGGGTTGGTAGAGATGGAGAGATCTGAGAGGAGACTTGGCCAGAGTCTAAGCTAGTGAGGGCTACAGCTAGAACTAGAGCCCAGGTGTCCTGATTGTCCATTTGGGCTTTTGAAACTGAACACCCTCTGATGGTGCGTGGGGCACGGGGCAAAGGAAGGCGGCTTGGCAGGGGAGATGGAAAGGTCATTAGGAGAATACATCTAGAATACTGTGTTCAAACCGGAGTCCACAGCCCCTCAGGGTTCACACATGTTATTCTCTCTAAACGAAATTTTTATTGTCACCTGCAATTCCAATGACAAGCAAAAAGAACTCAAGAGAAGCCCATGGTGGGTCATTTGGATGACCACCTTCTAATCAAGTTCAACCACACCAGTTCAGGAAGGACTTTTGCATTTTTTACTAACCACCATGCATGCTCCAAGGACTACGACCTTTGTTCTCTGCAGAAAACAATGGAGAACGATCCAGTGCATCAATTCACATGAGATGATAAATTCATGCCAAGTGATGAGAAAGAGAGGGAAGGAGTAGTGATGGTCTTTGAGGCCTCCTACCCCAGGAAAACATGCACCAAAGCCCAAAGTATGAAGGGATGACCAAGAGGGGATTCATTTCGGCGAAAGACCACAATCCATCATATTTAATAGTTTTAATTTGAATTTTATTGCATCTGCAGTGATGCTTGTGTTTAATTTCTCATTTGTTTTGGTTTTGTAATTGGCTTAAACCATAAGCACAACATTTTGTACCTGATTTTACATTTATGTATATTAACATTTTTAATAAAAATAATTTTTGTCTCATTGGGGTCCATGATGCTTATTTTCCTCTCAAAAGAGTCTACGTCTTACTCAAGTTTGGGAGATCCTGGTCTCAACCAAAGGGAAATCAAGCAAAGGGCAACCCTGTTTAGGCTACATGAATTTCCTTTCAAGGTAGGGTGAGGGAGAAGGAGCACCAGGAAGAGGAATTATCTGCCCTTTCTGGTACGTCTCCCAAAAGGGGCAACTCCCAGTCTCCCGAAAATTAGGTTTAGAAGAACGGGTTTAAATGGTGTGAACTTGTTACTGTTATTTCCTTATTACAGCAGTGGGGGGGCGGGGGAGAGCAGGTTCTCCCTCTTCAGATAAAAAGCAAGTTAGTATCCTCACAATCCCTTAAGAAGAAGTCAAGGACCACGATCTATAAAAACTGTGTATGTGTAAAGCGAGACCTTGCGTTCTGTAGAGAGAGCTGTGCACGTTACGGAGAGGCAGGCAGGAGCTGGGACCACTGGCTCTCATTCTCCCTCTCAGCCTCCTGTGAAGTGGGTGATCTCATCGGCCCCTCTTTATATTTGTCTTTTCCTCCTCTTCGTTGCCTCCTCTCTAGCTGAGTTCTCCCGAGATGAGCATGCCTATGATATGGGTAGGCTATGCACGTTGTGTTAGGACTCTAAGGATATGGTACAGGGCAACATTAGGCGTTGATGAAGGAGAAAAGTTG